ACGTGGTTGTGCATCTCGTGTCGCCTCCCGGTATTTTACGACTCCGTGCTATCATCGCTATCCAATGGTGTGGTGGTGTTTGTATGTGTGTGTGTGTGTGTGTGTGTGTGTGTGTGTGTGTGTGTGTGTGTGTGTGTGTGTGTGCATGTGTGCTTCAAACAGCTGTGTGGTGGATACCAGGCTAAAAATAGTGGCGGTCAATTCATCAGCCTTGCAAGCTGTTGAACGGTGTAATCCCAGCACAAGTTGCTATGTCTAACATAGCTGTTCGCTATCATCGCTCCCGCGATGGGCATGTCTGAGGTCTGAGGTCTAAGGTGTGTGTGAGCGTGTATTTATGTGCGTGTGTGTATTTGTGCGAGTATGTGTGCGTGAGTGTGCGCGTCTATGTGTGTGTTTGCCACGGAGTAAGCGAGCGAGTATGTCGGAATGTTCATGTTCGATTACGCGTGTACGTGAGCGAGTTTGTGTGTGTATGTGCGTGTGTGTGTATTTAGTCCGGTAGTGGGTTGCAATTTCTAGTTTTACGCTCTCATACGTTAACGGATAGTTGTCATCAGCCAGCATGTTTCGAAATTCCTAGTGTCGATGTTAGAGAGCTCTAGCAAGTGGTATTGAGCATTTTTTGAACAGCCGGAGTGGAAATTGAGCACGAATGTATATGTCCACACCGTCATAATATGGTGGTAAACTTTGTTTTGTTGTTCCCCTGAGTTTCATGGCAGTAGAGCCAATCACCATAAGAAAGTGGACGCTGATTAGACCGTGCTCAGGAACATACATGTAAATGGAAAGGCGTGTTAGAAACTGCAATGGTAGAAATGCAAACACAGAAATGAAACATACCCATCACAAATACGCAACACGGAAAGAAGAATGATGTATGTACGTGTATGTTTATTGTTTGCACAATAAGCATCAAGAGAGGAAATTATTCTCGGCGATTGGATGGAGTTTGAAGTTATCGGTAGACAGTCGCAGGATCAGATTGGATGGGACATTTCCTGTGAAAGATTAGTGGGGAGCAAAAAGGTGATCACTGCTGCAAGAAGAAAACAATTCTCATTGCTTTCATATGAATACCCTCGGCCCAGATTCATGTAAAACAATCATTCATGAAAATACCATTACACAAGCGGTGAAGCCTTAAAGTCGCAATGCTATCGCAAGGGGTAAAGCCTGAAGGTCGAAATCTGTTAGGCTACCTTTCCATCGTCATCATTACTGTCATGAAACCACAAGTTCTCAAGTGTGAAAGGTCTTCTCGCTTGTGACATTATGTTCGTTTCGATGCAGTTCTATCTCGACTCCCCCGTACCGCTGATGTTTACGACGTGGCATACGCTACATGCGCTATGTGCGATTTGCTGCGCGCGCTGTAGTTGTATGTTGTACGTGTATGCTTTTCTTATAATATTATAGGCTGTCTTTTTCACGCTATAACTACCTGGTGGTTTTAGTGTTTATTTATTAGTTGATCAAAGTGAAATATACTGTGACGAGTAAATAGTTGTCCTCGTGCCGTGTGGTCGTTCGTTCCTGACATTTAAGAGAATCTCAGAGGGTTCACAGCTATAACAGTGGGCATTGTCGCCTGTTTGACTTGGGATGTAAAGCAAAAGCAAAATAGAAAGTTACTAAAAACAATGCTCTAATCATGATATTGAACGCCTCAGCTATACGAATTTTTCGAATTATGGTTTCAAATTGATGTGAATAGTGAATGGCACGAGAATTCGAACATTGTACATTGCGCAAGATTCCAAAATTGATTATGATAATGATCGTGGCAAAATAATCGTAGCAGCGATGGAGGCACACACAATACAAAAATTAAAATACCAAAAAGTTAAATTCTCCAATATAAAACTCGACATGTAAACTGGTGGTATGTGCTCGATAACAAAAAAATCGATAACAGTCATATTTTCACATTTGGATCAAAATTCTGCGAAAGTTCTGATTACCGGTATGCCAAATTTACAAATCCGTTGATGTGCGAAAAAGAAAATAAATATATCTACCGGTATTCGTTGCAGAGCCAATCTGCGGACTGACCTGTTTCGTCTTTTGTGGACTTATTACATTGCTCTAAGAGCACTCCTCAATCTCTGAAGCCGCTAATCTGCAACAGCTGCAGAACGATCTGGCCAGATGCCAAACGTGGGCAAAGTTTATGAAAGGCCAATTTGAGGCTACGAAAACGTGGGTCACCTCCAACTATGACCTGCAAGAAACCCCAGTCATCACAATGGACAGTACACCTGTAGTCTCTGCACCTTCTGCAGTTCACTTGGGCATTACGTTGACACCAGATTTCACATTTCGAACTCAATTTGAAAGGATTCTCAAGACTGACCAGTCTCTAGTGAACCTTCTGTGTCATATGGGCCGCAACTTGAGTCCTGCCTACATTTCCCTATTGTATAAACCCTACGTTCGACCAGCTGTTGAATATGCTACTCCTGTTTGTTGCTTTCGAATAACCTCAGCTAGTCTCAGGACACCGGACAAACTGCAGGCGAAGATATGTCGTGGTATCCTCAAGGCCGCTCACGTCTCTTTTGATTGATGTGAATGAAAAGAAAACCTGTATAAGCTATGTTCTATTGAATGCCTTTCCTATAGTCGTTAGTACATTCACGTTGTTGTTCTCTTCGGAATGATTCACGAACACTCGGATTACTTTGCCACGCTCAATATAACTATAATATAGTTATAACGCAGTGCTCGACGCCCCAATAAACTTGGTTTTTAATTTAGAAAATGTCAGCTTTTCTATTATTGTTGTCACAATGTGAGACGTAACGACATCGCTATTGACACATTGTCTACGTAAGATTCTATGTAAGATGCTCGGTACCTAACCAGGGATTCGGTTGAAGCCAGCAATGCCATGGTCACCCTGCCATCCAAGCAGAGACCGTGCAATATTTTCCGACTTGCAAAAGGAAGGACCAAAATTGGACAAGTTTTGGCTAACACATTACCGAATCGCAAGCCAACAACCTTCCAGCTTGGAAGGCTCAGATGCTGAAAGTTCCAATGGGAAGTGAAGCGTCAGGAAGATGTGCACGAGCTATGTCCCTTGGTGACCACGAATTTGTAATGTTACAGGATAATGAGGAGACAAGTAAGACCATTGGACAAACCGGTCTAGAAACTACAACTAACTGCACAACGCAAAGCAACACACCACGCAACGCGGGTCACCTCGAACGTACTAGTACGTAAAATACAAATATAGGGGAAGCTGAGCGAAGACAAGTTGTGACAAACCGAAATGTCAATATCCAACTAGTCTCCATGGTGATGTAAAGATGGTGCACACGTTAGATGTGTTGGAGCTAGGTGTTAGGTCGTTGAATTTCTCAGTACCCTTATTAGTGTTGTGCCTTATGGTCGCACTATCTGACTGACTGTATAATTATCATCTCGTTCCCTTGGTGGACTGTTGGTCAAAACTCACAAAATTGTGGTCCTGCCCCTTTTTTCCCCTAGTCTTTACGAAGAAAATTGTGGAAATCAAGCAACTTCGTTGGGATTTATGAAAAAGGGTGTGTGTCAACTGACGACCGCTCTATTCAGTTGCCATTGACAATCTGCGCATTCGCTGCATTACAGTCATCAGTGTATTTACAGTTGTGTCATCTCTTTTTGGCGACTCTCCCCTGGTCACTGCAGTTCTCTCATCTCCTGTTTGGCGCAAGTCACCATTGTGATTTTAAAGACATCACAATAACATATACATGTATCCAAGATGTGCTAGAGCTGTTAGCCATTTAGTTGTAGAACGTCAGTACCGTCGGTCAGTGTCGTGCAATGTTATCGCATAAGCTGATTGTGTACTTAGTAGTATTAGGTGGTGTTAGTGAACATTATAGCGTAATGTGTACAAGTATTTCCTTTGTCCTTTTTGTTCTTCGATAAAATAACATAATAATTATTCGCTGCCTTGTCTTTGAGCATTTGGGCTCGTTTGGATTTGCGAATTCAAACAAAGTGTACAAACAAAGTTTACAAACGAAGAAAACTAGCCATTCATGGTCCTACCAACGGCATGAGTCGCACGAGCCACCTAAGATGAAAACAGACCGTGCAGTGGATATTCAACACTCGTATCGCTTATCTCTTGTTGGTGGTTCATCTCAATAAAAAATTATAACGATATTTCCAGTCTATTCGAAGCAGAAAGAAACTGAGATATCAATAGTGTGCTGATGCAAACTGAATGAACCATAATAATGGCGCATTAGCCAGTGGCTAGCGCGTGTTAGCGCCGCATGAACACCTGCCAGCTGGCAGCTTGATTACACTAATCAACCACGCAGATTCACAGCGCTAATCTACAGCGCAGCTCCGGAACCGCGCCAAGAGAGGTTGCAGCTCACACCTCGTATTTCTTCTGCTCCAAACTTTTCCCACGTGCCTTGCTTTGAGTGTTGCCTTTGTGAAAGTAGAGTTCGCTGCTGTTGCCTGGCTTTCACCGTTTGCTCCTAGCTTTTTCTTCCCCACCAACACCCACCCTATAGCTGTTGCTCTATGTTAACATGTTGCTATATTCTCTGCAGCCTATGTGGTCTGCACTTGCATCCGCTGTAACTTGCCATACATGTATTCAATTCTAAAAAACAAAAAACATACAAGTAAAATAAAACATTGGGGAGTGCGAATTTCCACTCACAACTGGTTTGCCCTGTTTGCTTGCTTGCGACTCAGTTGCAGAGTCATTGCCTGTTCGCGACTCAGCAGAGTCTTTTCGCGTTGCGACTCATTTGCCGAGTCACGTGACATGCACCAGTTGTTCTAATCAAGCACTCCACCTATTCAATTTAACTCAACCAGACTATTCTGTGTGTGCTCGTTCATGCGTGTGGGTTCGCATGCACGCGCATGTACACGTCCGGCTGTGTGAAGCACGGGCTAATGTTTAAATATGTACACATAGTGAGCAAGGTAATGATGCCTTCTCATCAGGCAAAGGCTAGTTTTCAAAGAAAGGTGAAAGTTATAATTCATCATTGGAATGAGTGAGTAAGAAATGCAAGAAGTACTATAAAGCCTCTTTTTGGGGCGAATAGAACACAATAATACAACATAATTCAATGAAGCGAGAAATAATAAAAAGGATACTTGAAGCAGTATGTGGTGGTGTGGTGTATTGGAATAGAAGACAATGACGTGGTGGTGTGGTGTATTGGTATAGAAGACTACACACATGTTTAAACTAGTGGGATCGTAATCGTTTTAACAATAACTATTACGAAGGTATTCTAAAATTTCACATTATCACCCTCCGCTCATCAGTAGAGGTACAATACTGAATGCAGAAACCATTACGATGCTACGTGAATCAACATTTTTATCATTCAATCGTAAAAAGGACAATTTGAAACCGTATGACATTTGCCCAGTATTGGAGTTGAACTACTTGAGGAATAAGGTGCGGCAACGCTATTTAACTCGCGCGGTAATGGGACTTTGGAAATTATCTTGCTCACGTGTAGGAAGAATGCGGGCAAAAAGAGCACACTCAGTTTGGGTCACAGCCCTTCATGATCATGGTGTAAACGGAATCAATCTCCGTGGCCAATACACGAGACTTTCCTTCAGAGTTCAATGAGACCCTTGATGGCGATGTATCGATGGACAACAAATTATTCTGCCCTGTTGATGTGGCTATGGAATGTGATACACAAGGTGCTGCTGCATGAACTTGCAGTTCAGGAATCGGTGCGGTCGCCAGTACATATATTTCCTCATTGTTGTTTGCTCGAATGTTACTGTTGATCGCTCCCTCACTTTCTTCATTACTCTCAATAGCTTTTCGATCTTTTGTGACAGGGGAGTATAGCAGTCCTTGGCTAAAGCAGCACGCTGGTGGTATTTGTTTATACTCTCCGGCCCCAGGTTGATCTTCACTGCAAACATCGCTTGCTTGGAGTGGCATGGTGGGCAGTTGATTTTTCACGACAGGAGAATATCGCATTGCTTGGCTACTACAGAGCACTGGAGGTACTTGCTCATGCACTCCGGCCCCAGGTTGATCCTCACTGTAAACATGGCTTTCGTGGAGTGGCATAGTGAGTGGGTGATGTTTCGTGACGGGGGAGTACCGCAGTGCTTGGCTACTACCGAGCACTGGAGGTACTTGCTCATGCACTCCGGCCCCAGGTTGACCCTCACTGTAAACATGGCTTCCGTGGAGTAGCATAGTGAGTGGGTGATGTTTCGTGACAGGGGAGTACAGCAGTGCTGGGCTAGTACAGGAACCAACTGGTCCTTGTTCACTCTCTCCAGTGCCACGTTGATCCTCACTCTTAACGTCATTCCCCTGGCTTGGCGTAGTAGGTGGTTGATGATTTTGGTCCTCACGCATTCCCGTGCCTTCTGAGTCATTAACTGGCATACGAGGTATATCCTTGCTTCCTGTCTGTCGCTTTCTCACCACTACCGCCATAATCAGAGTGGCCAGCAACAGGCCGGAAACGAGCAGACCCACTGATAGGGTGAATTTTATTGAAATTTTGCTACTGGCCAGCTTCCGTCCTGTGGCAGGAGACAAAAACAAGTGGGATACGTGTGTAAGTCATTTTCTATACGGGAAACATCACACTTTATCATAACAAGGTAAGCTGCAAGGGATATGTGCTTACTACACCGGTGGCAGGGAGATCTCAATTTGCATGTAGATTGCAAACTCCACTGGGTAGTGCCATGGATAGTCAGTCTCAACCACTACTTCATGCACGGCCAATGTCTACGATATATAAAAAAAAGTATGATAATTAGACCCACATGTCTACTACGAAACCTACACATAAACAGTCTGTGCAGCTGTAAATTCAGGTTTCACGCATTTCAGCAGTCATCAGACAGAATGTCGTTTGCTTTCATTGTTTGCACTAGGAAACCTGCATCCTACACCGTTGCATGATAAATTCACCAGTCTCGTAATTTGAGACATACATATAATAATTTTTTCATCATTTGTTCCATATCAAATTTGCTTCTCCTTCCCTGTTCTTCACAACCTTCGTATCCATTAGTTTCGAACACTATAAAAAAGCCTTTGTGTGATGACTGTTCAGCTCGTTCTGTTTATCGCAATTCTGAAACATATAATTAAATAATACTTAAAAACTGTACATGTATGCATATCGTAAGTACCTGCACAGTGCTCATCGAGGCTTCTGTTTCCAGTAGATGCACACGGACACCGGTATGAACCGTTGGTGTTCTCACAAATACGATTCCCGCCATTCACTCTCGCGGTGCAGTTGTGCGCCCCGTCTTGACTGCATTCATCAATATCTAGCAACATAATGTAATTACTCGGATGTTGAGCGAATGTAATCATGGATAAATTTAAAAAGAACACGTTATGAGTTAGCACCAACTGTCCACCAAAGGAAAGAAAAAGGACCAAGGAACTACAAGTTACGCTATACTGTCCACTAGCACTACCAGTTACTTGACGGTCAGCTCATGCGATAACATTTCACGACACTGAACAACGGTACTGACGTTCTACAACTAACTGCCACAGGTAATACCTTTGTGCTTTTTCTTTCCTAAAATTTTCCTTGGCTATCCATCCCAATGTAGGAACCATGATTAAACACTATACATGATCTAGATCAGTAGGGTACATGTAATCCATTTTCCCTGACACGTTTCCATGACATAATTATGCTATGGTATTCTCCCCAGGTCAACGATGGAGTAAAAAGGGTTAAAAGACTACCCCCAGGGAGCGCAGGGAATGCCGATGTCGACCGTACCAGCACACATGAGCTCTGCACCCATAAAGGGCCCCATGCACTTTATGGTCGAGCGTATACCCGGACGCAAGCTGAAATGACCTCACCATCCTGCCGAACTCAGCGCTTTTCCCAGACAAGCACACTACATGCTGTTTTATGCGATAGCGGTGTGCGTGAAAAGATATAAATAAATATAAAGATGGGCAAGGTGAAAACAAGATGACAGGCACCAACCACTTACATCGCAGGAAATTTCACTACCTCGTCATCGCGTTTTAAGCAGACGCTTTAGTCTCTGGCATTGATCGTTGTGGAAAATAGAGGAGTAAAGGAGAGAGATATGAATGCCTCCGGCCAGAATATGGAAACCACCTTGGTCCAAAAGTATAGGAGATCCCTTGAAAGTGAAGGCGAATTGAGAGGAAAACTCAAAAGCTGAGATGACTACGAACAAATAATACTTTGGATGAATTTAGAAGCACAGGTTCCACCTTCGTGTGGTGTTGCACTTTTAAAATAACTTCATCTTCAGATCTTGAGTCTGCACTCATCTGATCTGTGTTGGAGTGTTGGTTGTTCATCTCATTTCAAACCATTATATTAATGTCTACACCATAGTTACCTTGTTCTATTCTGGTGAGAAGGGAAAGAAAACGTTTGGTAAACTGAAGGAAGTGCTTTCTGAGTTCCCAAATACCCGCAGCCCTGTTGAAAGATATGTCCGCTTCCAGGCAGGACTTACTTGATCCTGGAACTCTTTGTATCTGGTCTAAGACCACTCTAATATATCTGCCTGCCTGTCCACGAACTCAATTACATCTGGACATACATGCTAACTCGATGTCAATCGAATCCCCGTATTTGTGGCCGTTAAAATAACATATTCACTCTTCTTCAAAAGACGTGTCAGCACCGACGCAATCCACACAGTCAAGTAAAGCCAATTTAGTAACCGAATGTTTTCGTTCCCTTCTCATCATGGGTGAGTACAGAGAACGATGGAAAACGAAATCACAATACAGCAGTTTATAGAGCTAAAGCAAAAGCATAGATCGAGAACCCCACGCTATACGTGTGGTGTGGTCACGTTACCTTGGCAAAATTTCCCCGTGTATCCTTGCCTGCATATGCATTGGTACGATCCATTGGTGTTATTACAGTTGCTGTGTATGATGGCGTTACACACTCCCGGGCTTGCATCACATTCGTTGATATCTGAAAGGAAAATGTAAGACATGTACTGGGGTGAAGAATTCATGACAATCCTTATATCTGTATTTGTATTTATGGATTCTCCACAGGCCTTAGCCTAAATGGAGGGAGTCTCCGTCAATAACTTACCGTATGTCAGCGCCTTTAAAACCATGGCCTTATATTCAAAACACAGCTGCTTTCCTAGCTATTCCATATGTAAAATGACTCACCCACTACGGCATGCCATAAAAGTCCACAGGGAAATTTCAATCTAAATCCACTTGTTCACCATTTCCGTTTATTAGTATAGTACTTATTCCTTCATTTTCACAAAACGTACTTCAAATGTCATTTCGTTCATGAAGCTTGTGGCTTTAAAACTGAGACTGGCTTTATAATCGAGTATACTTCCATATCTCTAAACGTGCGGACATACGGTATGAAGAAGAAGCTGAGGAGGAAAATAAAAATAGAAGATAGAATGAAGCGGGGTGGTAGTACTTTAACACAGTGCTCTATGACATCGTTACTCTACGTGGAACGAATCATGAGGGCTCATATCGGGTGATAGCAGAGTGGGTGCGGGCAAGAGAGATATAACATTTTGGGCCGGATACAGTACGAATGGCAATCAAGATAATTATTATGTTTCATGGAGCATGGGGTGATCTGCCAAGTTTGAACCAGGGCCTTGTGGCTATCAGATGTCATATTCTATTACTTCAAGCTTAACCCTTTACCGTTTTAGGTATTTGTACAGCAAAAACCGACCGTCACTGTTCATGCCGTAACTTTTTTATTTTTCACTTTTATTATGTACAAAATGGGGTGATTCTGAAAGTAAAAACCCTCAGGAATGCGATGCAACAACTTTCAAGTCCAGAAAACGAACACAGATTTCACTATTTAGCACTAATAATTATTTGGATGTATTGCCGATCGGGCAAACTGTTGCAATATGCAATAAATCAGATCCTTGCACTGGAGTGGCTCTCTCAGGTAAGTGGATACCAGGTTCGTTCTCTGGGTGGAATGCAGGAGTGTTACCAGTCACAGCGGTGTCAGCATTGTCCCAAGTATTGCAAATATCGACTAGTGCAGATTGCACCGCTGGCTATACTGTATACATAGTACCTGTACACCACGACCTCTACCGTGACGACGGCCTATTCCAAGGCCGAATCCTCTCTCTCTGCCACGTCCCCTTCCACCATTAGTGGCACTCATCTCAGCGACACTGTCGTCGTCTGTGACATCCATGGCACTCTTACTGGCGCTGCTTTCACTCGCCATGTCATCGTCGCGGTCGTTGTCAGAATAAATATTTTCAACAGGATTGTCTGGCTCCACAAACTCATCTTCGCTGGATGAGGCAGCGACAGAGTCGTCAGGAAGGGTCTCCAGAAGCGAAAGAGCTTGCTCCGCGTCCATGGCTTGCACAGCAGGGCAGACAGTCGTGAGGCCAGCTCAAGCAAAGTCGAAATAATCTGCAGGCAGTACCAAAAGTCGCAGGGTACGCACTTTTCCCCAAGCGCATTTTTCAAGTCGCGATTTTCGCGATTTTTTATATTGCATCACACAAAAAAATTGTCGGCACCCTCTGCGCGTACATCTTGGCTACCAGTAGGGAAAATCCCAGCTCTCTGCGGTGAACCAGTCCAGCGCTGTGCGCATAGAAGTCATCGACCGCGAGCGGTCGAAATTTGTACGTACAAACGGTAAAGGGTTAAATGTTCATTCTTGTTCTTGCACTGACATAGGCATCAGACCCGTCCATATTCCATAGGTTAGATACTTTTAACTTTAGGTTAGTGCATGGCAGGGAGGGCCTTATGGCTTGTTAGTTCCCGACAGTTTAGCCTGAGGGCCGTAGGCACTCGGCCCTCGGTCGTGCACCGTAGCCCGCGGGCCTGCTGCCTTTGGGCTAGAGTGCACGACCTCAGGCTATGCACTAGGGCATAAATCAGCCATAATGCCCTCCGTACCATGTGTTATTATATACTTCATTATCTGCACTGTACTATAATGTGTACATGAAGTTGTATGCACCGGCTTAGAGTACATTCAGCGGGCTTTAAACTAACCTAAGGCCCTCGACGCGTCATCAAAAAGTAGAATAATTACGATTGAGCGGGCTTTAAACTCTGAAAAGGCCGTTGGCGGGAATGTCCCGGATTGGTGGTTTCCTGGACAGCGAGACAGACCTCGTTCTACTATACCTTATAATTCATCAGCCGAAGGGTACTAGCAGCCCCGTGCAAGACGTATCGTGAATGATGTTCAGAGCACGATCTTAAATCACAAAAACTGTGACACTAATAATGATTTATGTTGTTAACTAATTGGGAGAGCTACAAGCACATGCATCGGAGCTGGACTATACCTTCGCATTGTGCACCAGAGTAGCCGTCGAGGCAGACACATTGATATGATCCATTAGTGTTGTGACAGTGGCTGTTGTCCACACTCCTGCAGTAGTCCTTCTTACATTCATTGATATCTGAATGAAGAACAATCACACACACAGACACACTCGTACAATTTATATGGCCCAACGCAAACAGACACACACAGACACAGATGCACATACTGTACATGTACTGTACTTGCTCACTACCATGCCTGGTCACGCGAGTCTCCCCCAAAGAGGGTAGGGAGATTCAAAAGGAATCCTGAAAAGATGACTCAATTGGCTATTGAACTGCCCAACAGCTGACACCCCCTGAAATCTCCGAACAAACAAACGCACACACACGCAAGACGACAGAGCTATCTCGGGGTGTTTCGTTCTAACTTTACTTTCCTTACTGTTTTGGCCGGCTTCCAGCCTCTTTCCCCATCGGCCATGTTGTGTGGATGCAGCCATTACCAGTGATGTTAACGACAAAGGAAGGAGAGCATAGAAAGTCTTTAAAAAGATGTGGGGTTGTCGCCTTCTTGTTCAACTGGATTGTACCTGATCTTTCTTTCTTTCTCAACACAAAGTTCTACACTATGGCATCTCTCTCTCTCTCTCTCTAACTCTCTCTCTCTCTCCCTCTCTCTCTCTCTCTCTCTCTCTCTCTCTCTCTAACTCTCTCTCTCTCATTTTCTCTCTATCTCTCTCTGTCTCATTTTCTCTCTATCTCTCTGTGGCTCATTTTCTCTCTATCTCTCTCTCTCATTTTCTCTCTCTCTCTCATTTTCTCTCTCTCTCATTTTCTCTCTCTCTCTCTCTCTCTCTGCATTCCGTGCATGGTGTCTTGAATGGCGTAAGCTAGAGTGGCAATTCCGACACACTTATGGTAATGCACTTTAAAAAGAGAAGAAATCACATGAGTTAAATCACATGAGAACGGGTTATGCAGCAACTATCTACAACTGTAACAATATGATACACAGTCAGAACGTGCGATAATAGGGCACAAAACAGACAAGCTACTGAGACATTCAGCGACCTGAGAACTAGCTCTAACACACCTTCAGTGCGCAAACCAACAGCCTTCCAACTTGGAAGGTTCATGGTTACGTAGGACCGAAGAGGGGAAGGTGAGCGCAGCGTAAATGTGCCCAAGGTAAGTCCCACGGCAACAAATATTGCCGACTGTTACAGGACAATGACGAGACTAGTTCATAACATGACAATGCAGTCTACCCACCATTCAAAGCAGCAAAGCAACACACCACCCAACTTGGGTGGTGTGCAAAATCAGAGATAAAGGAAGGGGGAAGCTTTCCGAAAACGATCATTTTCGCTGCGCAACTCATTCTTTTTTACTCTCTTTCTCACTCCTGCGTGCGGCCACACCATACATGCTCCCACCCCTAACACACCTCACTCACATGCACACCCACATACACACGCACACAGCAAGAACAAACAGCCTCTGCAGCAGCAACAGCTACACTACATTTGTGAAGCAAGAAAAAGAATGCCGCAGCCAGACCGCATGCTCCTACTATCTCGCAAATGTTACGCAATGCAAAAAAAGAAAGACAAAAAATAATTATATTTTGAAACTCGGATGTTGAGCCATAAAGTTGTGTGTGTCAAGTTGGAAGGCTGTCGGTTAGCGCTACGGAGATGTGTTGAAGCTAGGTGTCAGGACGTCGAATGTCTCAGTACTCTTGCCAGTGTTGTGCCTAGTTATTGCACTTTCTGACTGTATATAGTATCCAGTTACAGTGATGGAGAGTTACTCTAACTCGTGTCCTTTTGTCCTTTTCCTTTCTACATATAATTACATTTCTTGTTTCTTTCTTACGCCAGCCAACGAGAAATGAGGCATTTCTCATGTAATTTCTTCTCTTTTTTACATTAAATTATTACTAGGTCAGTATCCGAGTTGAAATATAGGAGAATTCCAACGCATATTTCTGGAACCTCTCCTTCAGTATCAATATGATCAGCTCCAGCAAAATAGTCGAGGTGGGTGTATGTGTTTGTGTGTGCATGTGTCGGGGGTTGCGTGCGCGTGCATGCGTGATTGTGTTTGCACGTATGTGTTTGTGGACTGGCATGCATTATAGTTTGGAGAGGCCGGGTTTGCTGCGAATAGCGTGCTAGTGTCTTACCTGTGCAAGGTGTTCCTGAATATCCAGGCTTGCAAGAGCACTGATATGATCCAGGCATATTGTTGCATTGACCGTTGCTATTGGGATAATTGCTGCAAATACCCTGATCTTGTGCACACTCATTGACATCTAACATTTGAATTCAGAAACAGCAATAGTTCCTGTTAACACAAAGCATAGGATCTGAAATTGTACTTCGTTCCCAAAGTATCCAAGGTAGAGAGGAAAAGTCAACTCAACCTCACCATTACTATCATTATCATTAAGATATCTATGAACAAAACTAAACTGGTGCTCATGTCAAACAACAAAGCAGCAAAAGTTTAGTTCCAGAACGTTTTCTTGTCACATTCATCTATGGAATCTCGTGACTGACAGAAAAGACATAAACAGCAGTAGGATATATGCCGTATTTCCCCGAATATAATTAGCAAGTATTTACAGTAAAATTCCCTTAAAAAAAAAGGGAGTGTGACTTACAATCGAGTGTGACTTACTACTGAAGTCAATATAATTAAATCAGTGTTGCTCAAACCTGAAAATGGATGTGCAAGGTGACAACTAGGATGGCACTTGTAACATCCCTCGCACTCCCCTGATAACCTTTTACGAATGGTTGTCACGCATTTGTTATCACTATTTTTCACGTGTATGATATCCTAATGCTGTTTATGTCTTTTTTCTCAGTCACGAGATTCCATTGATGAGTGTGACAAACGTTCTGGAACTATACTGCTTTGTTGTTTGACATGAGCGCCAGCTTATCATATCTATTTTACGGTTATTATCTCCACATTGACTATTATGATATTTGTCTGGTATATCATGAAACTCCAGTGCACGTTCTTGTTGTGGCTTCTGTAGCATCCTTATTATAGCCGCCTTCTCCAAAATGTCTCTTTTCTCTAAGTTTAATAGCTATCTGTGTGCCTGTCTCCCTGTCTCCCTTTCCAGTTGCCCAATCTCACTCATTCTCGTTCTGGTCTCTGATCCACTACTCCGTGATTGCGAAGACTCGCTACTGTTTAAACCACTCATTGTGTCCCTGACTGTTTATCTCGCACCCAGCTTCTGCTTCCTGCCCACTAATTTCCTCTCCTCATATATCCAACGATTACATGCATGGTGGATACTCGACACAAAGTTTTTTATTACAATCAGCAAGATGTGAGAACAACAACGGACAAAGAACTCAACAGATTTAAATGTAATTAGAGCTTGTTGTTATGACCAGGCGCATGGCCTGGATGGGTTCCTGGGTGCCCGGAACCCCCTTTTTTTGCTCAAAATGCAGGATTTTGCTTCATTTTTTGAAAAATTTCCCGGGAGGCCCCCAACACCCCCCCCCCTTGAACGGCACCAGCGCACGCGCCTGATTACACTGACTACCACTGCCAACCATTGAAACGTATAGTGTATGATGAATAATAGTATTATGATTTTTGTCGTCCTCAAGTTCACCCGCGCTCTCCGTAGCAGCATCTTTCTTTTATTTCCTTTTCCTTTCCGTCCCTTTCTCATCTGCTCTCTTGTCTTCGTTTTTTCTGCTCCTGCGGGTACATATATCCAGCAGTGATGACGAGACCAGTGTGTTTTCCAGAGCTTGGTATGTGCTAACTCCACCGTCTCCCTTGGAGTTGGCAGCTGCTTGTTATGCTGAAAGGCCATCATTGATCTCTCTCGTGTGCTTTGCTGCAAGTGCTTTTCGTAGAAAGAATGTTGCCGTGTTGGTGGATGCGTGAGTTCGTGTGCATTTCCGTATTTGCGTGTGCTTACACTGGGTTATGTATGCCAGCGATGGTGCTTTGGATACACTGTGTTCATTGGATTTATACTTCATAGTTTAATTTGGTTTAAACATCTCTTTAAATCTTGCATTTATCCCACTAATCCCTTACATATCTTGACTTTTTATTTATACATCCACTCTCCTCTACTTTGTTACCGGCCCTCTTATGAGGTGTGTTCATCACTGTTGAGGCTTCTGGTGGAAAATAAAAGAATACTTCTACTTGACACAAAGTTTGTATTACCATCAGCAAAATGTGAGAACAACAATGGGCAAAGAATTCATTGCATTCGAATGTAATCAGGGCTAGTCTACTACTGCTGTACTTGCTGCAAAGACTGTGCTAGCATCTTACCTGCGCAAGGTGTCCCTGCAAAGCCAGGCTTGCAGACACATTGATATGATCCCGGGGTATTATTGCATTGGATGTTAACGCCATTCTTGCAGATACCTTTGTCCAGTGTACACTCATCGATATCTATGATGTGAACACAGAAACAGGAGAGACTTTATTTCACTTGATAGCAAGCGCGTGATTCGAAATTGCATCCAGTATCCCAGCAAAAAACGAAACCAATCCGGACCCGGAGTTCTACTAGAGACTGGGCTTCTACTAGAGACTGGGCTTATAGTTTTTCAACCACCTGGTACATGTACATAATACAATACATCGCATATTATTTTTCATTACATCAGTAGCACAAACTTTCCCACCAGGTACCGGGACTGCAGTTTTGTGCTTCCTGGTACACTGAGTCTGAAATTTAGATTTCGGGGATCACAGACGACTGCCACAGTATGTGTTTATGTGATACTGTGTGACGTCAAACGTGCATGGACATGATCCATACAGTTCTCTGCGCTTATATTGGAGACTGCGCTTGTATATCTTCGAAGCACTCTCGGAGTGCGCTTATAATAGAGACTGGGCTTTTACAAGAGACTGCACTTGTAGTAGAGATAACACGGTAATGACTTTCCTCAAACAGATAACCTCAAAACCAAAAGCCCAGGTTGTTTTTCTGTATACTTTTTACATGTATGCTGTCCTGTAAAGCGATAAACTTTTGCGGAGTGCAAATTTCGCCTTTTCAAGAATTGCCGTCGTTCAGGACGAGAACCTTTTCCGATTTTATCTCTTGATTTGGATCTTGCACTGTGTAGGCAACACTCAATCAAATTACTGTACTGGCAGAAAACTTCGTCGGTCAATATTTTCGTCCCGCTCCAAAGAAAGGGAGTTCGTCCGGTTGTAAATTTCATCCATGGATCATAAAAGTGTATTGAAAAGCTGGGCAAATCGACATCAGTCCGGCATTTAATTTAGTCCCAAAGCTCCTTAGACGAAAGAGACGAAATTAAATTCCAGACGAATATATCTGCGTATACAGTAACTAGTTTCTATAGTGGGAATGTCTGGAAATGAAGCCGGGACGGTCTGTTGGTTGAGCTTGGTTTGCCCCACTGTCATCGGTACATTGCCTGGCCCCTACCATTAATTGTCCCGGCTTGTCTGTTCTGTTTCATCTCGATTTCTTTTTCCTTCATAACTGATAGGCAGGGTTGGGTTTCACGTAAAACAATCCTCGGTGACAATTCCGTTGAATGCAAATCTACGCACGGAAGTCACACGCTAGCACATCTCTAACGCTGATCCTTCAGATGCTTAATTTTACATGGCCCTTGTACTGAAGTTAATTTACTAAGAAACCCCATTGCTATGCGGCACAAATGTCCATTCAAATTTAGCATTATATCACTATCCGTAGCAGGACCTGGTGTTATTCTCACATCTTTCACGGTTGCAACCCCGCGGAAATATAGTAGATAGTGTTTGTCACAGCATTGCCTCACTCCATATTCTCTCTCTCTCTCTCTCTCTCTCTCTCTCTCTCCATAAAGTAGGTCATTATACTACTTCAAGTACTATAGTGTCAGTAAACATCTGCTGCGCAACACGAGATATGAAAACATAAAGACCCAATGTCGGCACGATGCCAATACTGTGCATATACACCCACTGTTTAAGTTTGATTTCACCATGGTTATGCTCTACTCGCAAAATTAGCAAACATTAATACGTCGCAAACATTAGGATGGTCACAGTATCCTTCATCCTTTCACCTCAGCAGATATTTGAATTACTATTTCTGCTTGTTCTGCATTCAAATACTCCGGCTTTTCTTTTTCGTTGCGCCTGCACTCGAGTACTCCGCACTGCACGCGGACTTTGGCAGTCGCCACATACTGATTTATTTCCTTGGTAACCCTCGATGACTCATGCATGTCCTGTGCTGCACCACGTTTCGTTTTCGCTTTTGCCATGTGCAAACTGTAGTACATGTACATGCTGATTTGGTGCGCACAACGCAAGCCATATGCATGCATGCATGCTGCGGCCCTCTGGCCATGGTGTGGCCCTCTGCCCATGGTGTGGCCCTCTGCCCATGGTGTGGCCCTCTGGCCATGGTGGACAAAATTTCCTTCGATCCATTACTTGTTCTTACAAAGTGGAATAAAATGAATTTCGCAGAGATCTGAAAAACGAAGAGTTACATGTAGCTTCAAGGAGAAAAGCTCGCAATGCAAAAGGAAACATGCATCCAAAAAAAGATGCCTAGCTCTGGCATACATCGTAGAGGTCACTGCGCATCCAGTACACTGCACCCAAAAAAGTGCAGGCCTGGCGCTCCATGGAGTGACGACATCCATAAACTGCATCACGTCATGCAGATAGAGCGATAGCATACCGAACTAGTTCAAAGTACAAACTAAACAAAAATAACTGAGACAAGTCAAGATAAATAAATCGGAGAGAAGAAGAGAGCAGAGAACTAGGGTGGCGAATCTGGATTTAGTGTGAGCAGGTGGTGTGGTCCGAGCAACGCTAGCCCAATAGAACAAAGCAAGGGTGTAGTCCGCAAAAAAATGTACGCAAATCGTACAAAGATTCTGTTACAGCTGGCAAAAAAACGCTTAAGTCCATTTCCACCGCAGCCACTTCCGGTATGGGGGGCTGTGTGGTCGGATTCCACTCCAAGTGCACCTAATCCGGATTTGGCCAAACGATCAGGCTCACTCAGAGCTCACTTGCTCGGGATTCGCCCAATTGATCATGCCCCTAGAGCGGAATTTAATTCTATTTATTGCATGTCACTTGACTGTTTCCTTGGATCGGGCCAATCGCGGATCTGTGTGAGCGGGCAATAAATCAGTCCAGCGCCCGCCTCCAAAGCCCGTCGCCCGTGACAACCCTGACAGTGACACTGGATACGTGAAATCTGAACACGGTGACTGTGTACAGTGCAGTGTGCATGTTAACGCGTGTTCGAAAGTGGCGATCTCAGCTTTTCTTTTTCTTTCCTATCAAGTGTTGCTGCACACGGGGTCGACTTTCTCCTTTAGTTTTGATTCTTTCAGGTTAGTGTATTCAGTAATGGTTAAGCTGAAAGTTATGAATCCATTATGGCATGGTTGGTCGGGCAATAATGGATTTCCAAGTGAACCCTCGGGCTCACTTGTCGGGTACTGAAAATCCATTATTACCCTCCTAACCATGCCATAATATACATGTATTTAGAGATGGACAGATAGTGTCGAGGAGACATGCAGATATGCAATAGAAACGACTCGCCTGCATGTAGAGTAGCTGCCTCTAACTGCAGCAGAGTGGAGCATGCAGGTAAGTGATAAACTCGGAAAAGTGAAATGCGGGAGAAACAAAATACAAACAGATTCGAACAAGCAAATGCAATAACAATTATTGCGAATTCGTGTGCAAAGTGTTCGTAACACTGTAAGTCAGTTTTTGTCTTTGTTTTACTAGTGGAGAGATCCTTATTACCGCCAGAAGTGTACTTATTACCGCCAGAAGTGTACTTATTACCGCCAGGAGTGTACTTATTACCACCAGGAGTGTACTTATTACCTCCAGGAGTGTGCCAGAGTCAGTTGATTTGCTTGCCACTCGGCCACATACCACACTAGTAGTTCACTAGTCGACACCCGTATAAAGACCTCGGGATGAACCGCATTGTTCAGTTCAGCATTCTCTAGACAATGCATACCAAATCATAAGATCCCCTCCACATTATACTTGCATCCAGGTCAGACCACTAATGATTACTCGCGAATTGCGTGTACAGTCGGCTCATGAGATATAGCGAACACCACTGCGCAGGAGAATTAGTTCTTCATAGTCGAAGTTTGTTATAACAGAAATGCATTCACACTATACAAGCAGCAAATCATAACTAATATGGCATATGCCCCATGACAGTATGACTGACATGTGCCCCATGACAGTGAGACTGCACTTGGTTTTTATGCAGCCCTACACGATTTGGTTCGCTATAAAGGGTATTCTTGTATGGGTTTGATGTAAAATGATGAGTTGTTTTCCTGTGTGTTGACATTGATTTAAATATTATTTCCTCCGCGTCATCGAAATTGTCGCAGTTTGACTTTTGATATAAAACGGGGTATTTACTCACCAGCTCTCGTACCAGAGGCAAGGAATCGGACATAGGCGATAGTCATCAGTATGGGGTGACGGCAAAGTTCTATTTTCTGTTATTGGAAGCTGGAATTTTTGAACTAGACGCAATTTCTTCGCTGATGTCGCTGCGATGGTAATTTCGACTCGCTGAGATCAGTCAGGCGTTGCAGCCTGCACATTTCTCGTGCTTATGGCCATTCACTCAAGCCTCATCACTGTTTTACCTTAGCTGGGGTGAGAATGACTTCGTCGAACAAGTGGCAGCGCTTGGAGAAACATCGAGGGGTCAGCAAACTAAATGCCTGCAACAGCGATAAAATTTGTCGCTCTGGCTTAGACACTCAGTACATGATTGTACCTGCAAGAGCCGTGTAGACTCTACACGTAGTGCTAGCTAGTGATGCACGCGCAGGTGCCGTACCATGGTATACCAGTGATGCTGAAAAAGAGGGCGCGCTGGACGTGATAGTACACTTACCTGCATGAGCTGTGACCACACAGCTAAAATATATGGGCATGCCACGGCTAAAAAATGTTCATTTCAAGATCGAGGTGATTCCGCCGACGGTAATCAACCGACCTCGCAACGATCGTGTTTTCTTACTAGGCTTCGTTGGTGGTGAAGTAGAAATCATCCAGAGCTAGCAGACGACAAGCATAGCAGCTCTTGTCCTGTGGAGAAAGTCAAAGCGTTTGAGATGAGGCGCGACGAACTTTCAACCTTCCTTGAAGTATTTCGGAACGATATTTTTTGCGTCCAATGACATCAGCGACGACGAGGACTTCATCTCTGTATGAAAACTCTCAGTCTAACTATCCTGGAACGTTACTCTAGTCTTCAGACTATCATACTGTGTAATAGGTTTTGATTGGCTTAACTTATGGAGTTGTCAGTAACAAGTGACAAGTCACTAGTCAAACTGCGACAATTTCGATGACGCGGAGGAAGTATTATTATTATTTCCCCAAACTGTCTCGTCTAGTCGCGTATATGTGTGATATGAGCATGCGCGATTTTGTAGCCGAGGGTCCTTTTGCCCGTCTTCTTGTTCGTCTCTTTGAGTGCAGTCTGTGTTTCCGACATGTCAAGAATATAAATAATGTAACAAACCGGTCTTGTCCTTTCTGTGCTGCGTCCCGGGGAACGGAATGGTTGTGATTCCGTAACAGGTTCAAACAGGGACATGGACAGTGGTTTGCTATATCACGAAATTCACTATATGCGAGTTCGTTATAAGTGAAATTCATTATGCGAGTTCATTATAAGTGAAATTGACTATACTTCTATTTTCGGTACTTTCGGTGAATCTCTTTCATACCCAACATTTCGATGATCGCCAAACACTGACACACATCATCCAGCAGGGACAGCTAACTTGTACTTAAAATGTCTGTTAACATTATACTCTTTTCTCGCATACTTAAAAATTAATGTCTAAATTGAATTAAGAGCACATCGTAGCCATCATAATGTGTCGGATTGCTCACGGCGAGTGCTGAATGCACAACACTCCAAAGCTGTCCCACATTCAAGATTTAGTGGAAACATCTGCTCATCTCTACTCTACTGACTTTCAATACTGTAAAGTGACAAACTTTCGCGGTGGCAAAATTTAGAGTTTAGGCAAACTGACGGGACCAGTTAGCGGCGATCAAATTTAGCGATTTTACTTTCCACCGGAAAACCTTCAAGAATTTTATTTTACCAAGCCTGGGAGTGCTGGGACGCACAGTGCATGAATAATGAGAGAAGAAATCAAAGAGCGTAAGAAGGAATCAAGGACTCAAAGTGAACCATAAGGTAAGTACTAGTACTGGGAGAAAGGATGGCGTGTTCGAAGAGGGATCATCAGATGACTTTCTCTTCAAACTGCTAGCACACTGGGTGATACTCATGGCGATAAATTTCAGAAGACTTGCAGTACAACACTAAAATGTACGCAACAGCAAGCTGGCCAAACACTCCAACAATACTCTCCACAACACTGAGACATTCTCCAGTTGATCTTTTTATTCTCTTCCATTGATCAGCGCTATGAATGAAGCCAGTGCAGTGTATGTACAGTGGAGTGTATGTACAGTGGAGTGTATGAACAGTGGAGTGAGTGATACATGCACGCATACTGTTTGTACAAATCTGTGGCAAAGCGATCAACCATCGTGTCCTGGTACATGCATGAAGTTTCATGTTCGGCTGTCAAACTTTCGCGATTCGACCCTGCTCGCGAAAGTTTGTCGTTTTACAATAGGCATGGCACTGTTTGTGGAGGCGCACAGATTGTTTGTTTCCGTTGAACTTGGTTTGTGCACTGAGGCTGAGTTTACATGAGAATTTTCAACCCGGGTCGAGTTCAGCCCTGGTTGAAAGTCTGTAGGATAGACAAAATAGGCGAGTGTTTACATGAGGACAGTTGACAAGGGGCAAATGCTGATATGCCGCCAAAAGTTCACTTCTAGAATCCTGTAGGGTCACGTGAATAATTGCGCGTGAAATTTGCCTGTGCAGAGGTGTTCAAACCTGGTGCGAGATATGCACAGAAATACGATGGTATGAGTTTCTCGATTTCAAATCAACATCAATTTTTTTAATCAACCCAGGGCGGAATTTCAACCCGGGTCAAGCGCAATGCGTCATGTGAATGCGCCAGTCAATCTGTGTTCACAGGCCCGTAGCAGCCCCATTTTGGTTGGTCCAGCAAGATCCGACCTCGATGCCTCCCCCCCCCCCCCTCCCCCCCCCCCCCCCCCCCCCCCGAGCCCACACGCCTACATATGCCGGTACATGTACATTGTACAGGTACAAAATGTACATGATTGTACGTGTACCGGTATGTACATGACTGTATGTAATTGTGACCATGCAGAGTGACATAGGGCGAGAAACGGAAGAAGGATGTTCTGCATGAGTTAGGAAAAAAAGGGCATCAGCATGTTGTGTCCGTCCAAACTGAACTTGTTGAAGCCTATGAAGGCATAGCAACAGTATCTAAACGCATGTGATAAAAGAACCAAAAATGGACCTTTGGTCCCTTGGAGGAGGAGAAAGGACATTTCAATGAAGGAATGGCAGGAGGTCATAAAGTAGAGAACAACACCCACATAGATCTATGTGCATGGCATTCGCAACAACATGTACATGACATGTACTTGAGTACAACTAGAGTTCAAACTTCAAAGTAATCACTCGATGTTGTAGTGTCCTCTTGCTATTACCATGTAGAATCAACTACAGTCAACTTCGCTAATAACGACTGCGGATATAATGACAATTCGCGAATAACGACAGAATTTCCATGCCCAGAGCAAAGTTCCATCCAACTGTAATTATATAATGAGACTTCGGGTATAACGACGCTTTGTGAATAACGACACTTTTCTGATGCCCCGCCGAGTGTCGTTATAAGCGAAGTTGACTGAACCTCTACTTACTCGCTTTAATTAATATACCTCACTACCTCTATTTATTGCATACATCATGGGTGGACATCCTGAGCTGCTTACATTGTGAGCTGCTTTTTTTTTTTTTTTTTTTTTTTTTTGGCCGAATATTGGTCCGGCAGCTGCCGGACTTGCCGGACCGCCTGCTACGGCCCTGGTTCATGGCGGGCTGAAACTGGACCCGGGTCGAACTCAACCCGGGTTGAAACGACTCATGTAACCACACCCTGACTACAATAGTTTCCATTTCACCACAGAGATGGCACAAACCTGATAGTCATGAAACAAGTAGGAGACCTACCTGCACACGTTATTCCGTTATATCCCGGAAGACAAGAGCATTGGTGTTTTCCGAATGTATTCGTACAGTTACCTCTGTTACCAGGATCGCAGAATGCCTTTGCCTTACATTCATCAACATCTGCATGGAATTTTAACATCAGTCGAAACACACAAAAAGAATAATATTAAGTAGAACTGCACTGATGAAAAGCCCTGACTTTTCTGTTTGGAGATACTTGTACTTGTGTGCCACTGTGATAAAGGATACCCAGAGCCGCATACACTACAGGTCCGATGTAGGACAATCACCACTCTCCCTGCCATGGAGGAACTTCTTTCTTTTTCAAGCCAAATCGTACATAATCCTAGCCATGCTCGGCTATAAAAGCCCTGCAATCGCCACGCAAGGTGGTCATTGGCTACCCCAGCCATGTATTGCTCGGAATAAAATAGAATAGAAATAAATACGAAATGATGGTTGCGACTTCGGCGATGATTTGAAACAAGTGTCGGGAGCTAACCCTTTCTCAAAAACAAATCAACAAAAATAATAGCGTAAATCACGGTATAAACACTTGCTTGTAATCAGGTCGACTATTACACGTGATTAGTGTAACACCTTGCTTGCCCCCAACAATTTCTTGAACCAGAATTATTGATGCTGCGACGTATCACTAATACCTAAGTAGTTTTAACTACAAGAACTGAGATGGTGAGCCAAGGAAAAAAACACATCTGACTGATCAAAATTTGGTTTAGTTGGTGGACTCGATCGCATAACTTGGGCCCACAATTTCCATGTTACACAACCTAAGCTGTTGTTCGCATCGTTCTACCCTGCACTTTGGCTACTTCATACTCCTTTAGAATCACAGTCAGGAAAATAAGTCAATTTTCGTTTCCGTTCCCCTGGGCAAAATAGTATGGACACTACTAACACTGCACGTGACCTGGAATACCGCAGTGGTGGTAAACACGGCCTTTTAAGATAATGCAGTACATGTACTGTTAATGTGCAGGTTCACAAACCTTCATAAACCACGGATATATATGGTTCATTGTCTGCACAGAGCGGCACTTTGCAGGAGAAGCCACTAGTACGAAAGCGAAGGTTGAACTGGCTTTGCTGGATCGTGACCGCGATTGTAAACACATTTATCCTCACATTACTCTCAACTGGATGGGGTTGCTGCTGGTAAGAATAGGAGACTGGGCTCCATTGTATCCATTTCGATTCGGAACCATCCCATTCCCTAGTGTGCAGCTCGAAATTACAGGTACCCTCGGAATGGAGTTGGACCTCGTTGACTTGCAGATGACAATGCGCTGGGTAATCGAAAATCACCTCATAATCACCACCAGTAAGTAGATCTGTTCGCGAAATTGGCTCCATTCCAGTGAATGCCGTGTACTGCTCTGTTCCACTAGCAAAAGAGCTTTGATTGGTGTGGAGGCGATTTATTGCAGCGCATTGCAAAGTCGGTGTGAGGCCTTTCACGACATTCCAGGCACTCAACATCAGAATAATATGGACTGTTATTATTAACATCTCCGGATGCACTCGAGCCAAAATATTCTGTTAGAAAGGGGCCCCGCGTTCCACTAGCAATGCTTATTAAACAGCGGCTCAGTCTCGTTAGTCGTAGCCGAGTAGAGTATACGAAGATCAACCATAACGTTCCATGTATCGCCCTAGGCAAATTGACTCTCTACATTGACAAGACAAATTTCGGAAATGGACAACTATTTGAGATGCCTGTCGCGACAATCTGACAGAACAAACAAAGAGATTGCACTCAAAGTAGCTGACAAATATATTCCTTGCCGGTAGCTAAGGTATTAAAAGACTTCGTAAAGATATTCCTACTCATGTAGGCAGGCAATATCCAGTGTTTCACTTCGTGTACGGGAAAACCTTTGCAATGCTTATGCCAACGGTCACACGCGTACGAGGGATAAAGCTGAACATGATTTCCACAACTACTCGTCTTGCAGCTTGGCGCGAAACGATTCCAATTAATTATTTTATGTACAACGAAGCGCTGTAAGGAGTGGCGTGATGCATAAAAGGCAGAACACCGAAGAACTATGCTGGGGGCATGCAGCTGGGCATAAGGCCATACATGCAGTCAATACAGTCAACTCGGGTAATACCACGAGCCAGGCCAGCCGGCCATATCCTTAAATGGCAAGTCGGAAGGGAGTACCGTACAGCACCTCGCGGTCCCGATTTTGGGTACGGCGAAGATCTGATACAACCCAGGACGGTTACCGTATGTGTGCGAGTGTGTGTGTGTGTGTGTGTGTGTGTGTGTGTGGGAGTAAATGTGTGTGTGTGTGTGTGTGTATGTGTGTTTGTGTGCGTGTGTGTGTGTGAGTGAGTATGTGTGTGTGTGTGTGTTCTGTGTGTGTGTGTGTGTGTATGTGTGTGTGTGTGTGTGTGTGTGTGTGTGTGTGTGTGTGTGTGTGTGTGTGTGTGTGTGTGTGTGTGTGTGTGTGTGCACGTGTATGTGTGTGTGTGTGTGTGCGAGTGTGTGAGAGAGAGAGAGAGTTCTACGTATAGAGAGGCTCTGTCTGTATGCGCCAGCGCGTGTGGGTACATGTGTGTGTGTGTGTGTGTGTGTGTGTGTGTGTGTGTGTGTGTGTGTGTGTGTGTGTGTGTGTGTGTATGTGTGTGCGAAGAGCGAAGACCACAAGATGACATCAGGAGTAGTCTCCTAACCCCCGAGCATAACGAGGGTCAGAACCGGGTGCGATACCCATTATGGTTCAAATGGTCCGCAGGGACCAGGGCTCTGCCAACCGCGGAAGGTTGTAGTAAGGTCACTACTGTTTTCGAACACAGTGTCCTCCTCCTTGTTTCATGTTGTCAATCTAACAATTGCATGTACAGTCATGTACATGATTGTATTGAATACATCATGTTGAGTGTTGCCCTAGGCTCTGCGCTCAGGAAACGAGGTAAACTGTACAACGGATTAATGATATACATAATTATAGTGTCATGTACAAGACAATGATACTAGAATCTTCCAAATTTGGAACAGGAACATTACATTCCACCTACATGTACATGACAATTGAATTATGTAGCTAGGTAGGTGCAGTGCAATTTTCCTGTTCCAAATTTGGCAGTTTCTGACCCCTGCTTCCGCGGATCCGACGGATTGCATGCATGCAGTCAATGCAGTGGCAACAATGCCATGCCCAGGGAGGTCCGGAGCCGGTGTAACATACATGTACCGGTACGCGGTAGTACAGTTCCCCCCAGAATTTGTCCCCCGGGCAATCTGCTAGTCTAGTAATTAGTAATTGACCCCCTGGGGAAGAGTACTATAGCGAGGTATATTATGTATCAGATTGCAACGACCAGGAGGCTCTTAGTAGTGGCTGCAAATGACCGATATCCGTCACTTGCAGCTCTGCATCAGAGACCTGTAGCTGGCCTGAAGAGTTGTAAAATTACTCCTTCGTAGCCGGGGGAGTCAGAGCGAGGGCGATTCACGGCTTGGTCAAAAAACTGTCGGCCTGCCTGGAACGTAAACGTGGATCTGCCGACACAGTTCACCTGGTTCACACGCCTGACCTGGCATGCTGCCTTGCGTGAAAGGAACATTTTTCCGAAAGCAAGCTTCTTCTCCAAAATTCGAAATTTCTTTCCAAAAATGCCGTCGTCCTTGACCTCGAAGCTGAATGTTGTTAGGATAGAAAATTAGCGAAGATGTAGCCGACCCATTCTGGCAAGCCGTGTGCCCTCTGGATATGCAGTTGTTCGCAATGGTCAACAATCTTCTTCTCCTTCGTTCGTACTTTCACTTTCCTGACCACGAATACAAGCGGTACCCATGCTCAGGTTAGTGTTTATTTGTCTGTCTATGCACATACATGTAATACAATGTACTGTTCGTGCTGCAGGCGCTGGCCGATCATGGAAATAGAGGAAGCAGCCAGCTTTCTTTGAATTCTCGTGCTTTCAACAAAAATATGTACACACTTTCCTTGGCTCCTCTTTCCCACCGCCACCATGCATGCACAATCGAGCTTGCTTTAATGCCCTGCAGTGCAGAATGCTCCCACCACCGCAACTACCACCGCCGCCACCACTACCAGCAGCAGCAGCACCACCACCACCACCGCTGTCGCGAACCAGGGACATACCTTTTACATAAACCACTCGAAGCAGACCATTTTTTCCTTAGTGCCCAATTTTCTTGTGAATCAAGACTGAACTGAATATTTACAAGGGGAGAGCGATAATATAGGTGAGTCGGAGTGTATGCCTGTAGCAGTAGTGTGCCGTGAAAGTGTCTTGCGTACAGCGTCAGCAGAAATATACAAGCGATAAATATACAAACGCATCGAAATTAGCTCCCAAGGAGTAGCGAAGAATCAAAGAGAAGCAAGAAGAGCACCAAGTTGTGGAACTAAAACAGCTCCACGTGCATGTAGCTGAAAAGGTGACACATAAAGATACGCACGGTGCAACGAGTCCAACTGTGAGCATGAAAATGGATAGTGAAGGCCATCAAAGATGCCGATAGTCGTACACACAGTCCGTGTTGGATGTCGGTGCGTGTGCAAGCCAAGGTGCATGGGTTCAAACTGAATCAAAGGGTGCCCGGAACGGAAACATTAGAAATGCAACGAAGTGCAAGGTGAGAAAAAGGGTGCCCAGAATTGAACCTTAGATATACAAACGAGTGCAAGATGAGAAAAAGGGTGTCACAAAGGGATGCGAGTGATTGAACGTACAGATCATGCACTGAACAAGGATACATGTATACGTAGACCTACGTAGCTGTGAATTCTTGGATATACATGCATTGTGCTCGTGACTACGAATAAATCCGATCGCATTCGCGACACTCCCGCCCGCTGAAAGTGACTACCATAGTTATGAAATAGCATACACATGAGTGAACAATTACAACTGTGAAATGAAGTGTTGAAAGAGAAAAATTGAGTGGAAACAGTTATTTGTATTCAGACTGAATTCGTAATTATCATGGTTTGCATTTCATCGAGCCTTCGTTTGATTTAAAACTCAATAGGTCCAACGTAATCTATGCCTGTGAATTCATACAGTAGCAACTCCATTATTCTTTCCTTGGGCAAAAGCCGGAGGGGGTTTCGGAAGTTGAAACGGGCCACCATCGTGCTGTTTACATGACAAACAGTGTTGTGGTTGTGTAAATTCTATCCATTTCGATTCCGCTCGTTGGTATTCGTCACGTGAGATGGTATTACCAACCGATTTTTTTTTGATTTTATCAATAAATTTCTGTACGTACGCTGTGACTCTGACTAGTTTCCCGAAAGACGTGAATTGTTCCGGGTCCATGCCTGCTGGTGATCCGTCAGGACCCTCCCCCTGCACGAGAATAGCAGTGACAGGAGTATCCTCCATTGGATCGTGGCTTGTCGTTGGCAACGTAGTGAGTACATGTACTGCATCATCCGTAATTCCATGATACTCCGTACTTCCTGATGGTAAATACCCGAACGTTGATTTTACCATGCACATGCCATTCTGCAGTGCAATACTGCCGTCCATTATGAATCTGTGATAGTGATCTACACCAATCAGTATGTCCACGTCACACTTCTCTGGTTCCTGTACAGGTGGTTCCGCAAGAGGCATGCCATGCAACTTCATATCATTTGGAAGCGGGAATCGTTGAATTGGGTGACACAGGATTGATGTGACATTTGCGCAGACCTCCGTGCAAGATTTGTCTGGTTGTTCAATTCGTAGATTGACTCTTGGCATGGTTTCGATTTTCCGTTTTTCGTTACCAAAGCTTGACACTGAGATTGTGTCCTCTCCAATCTTGTTACAGTGCAGTTTGTGGCATAGGGATTCAGTGATGAAGGATCTAGTTGCCCCAGTGTCGAATAAAATCCGAGCATAGCATTCCTGGGTTCCGCTTTCATTTGACACCATTGTAACTGCTGTTTGCAAAACCGTGTTTTTGCAATCTGCGATTGCCACTCCCATTGTGGATTGAATTTGGGATGACACTTTTCCTGCGCCAAATTTCTCCGGACAGATACTACAATGGTGTGTTGTGCGTTTACAGTAGTAGCATGGTTTAGTGCGCTCACATGCCCTTGCACTGTGACCAGATTTCAGGCAAATGAAACACCGTCCATTCAATTGATCTTTTCTGGTTTCTGCATCTGTGTACCTGGTACACTCATCAGCGAAATGCGATTGTCCGCAGTAGATGCATTTACGCTCCATTTTTACCGTGTTTGCTGCCATTGAGTGAGCTACGTGTGTCGTTGGGTTGGATGGTCGGTCCCTTTGTCGTTCGTTTCCGCCGGTAGTTGCAGCTTCCGCTGCTTCCATTGCATCTACGTAGTGGTTCATTGCCTCACGTAGACTTCGCACTGTCCATTTTGTGGTAGTGCCTTTCTTTAATTCTAATTGAGACATAACCGATTTCGGTAATTTGGAGGTAATCAGTGGAATGAATAGTGCCTGTGACATGTCCTCATGTAGCGCACCTAGACTTCTGATGTTTGCCTCGACGTCATTCAAGAATTTCCGCAATGATTCAGGTCGGCTAGACGGTTTCTCCAAATCGACTAATGCCAAGTACCGAGCATTGATTACAACATGGTCTTTCCCAAATCGATCCATTAGCAAATCCCATGCAACCTTGTAATTTGAATTTGACAGGGCCAAACCAGAGATACATTCCAGCGCTTTTCCTTTCACGTGTGTTTTCAGGTAAGATAGCTTCTCCACATCAGACAAAGATTTATTTGTGTGAACAGTGGCAGTAAACATATCTTGAAATTCCTTAAATTTC